CTCCTAAATCACTCGTACGCACAACTTAAGAACAAATCTGTGTACCAACGGTTCTTGCATGAGGCCCATTATCCTCAAACTGAAGATGGTCATTTCAACATTTGGAGTCTTCTTTTTAATACAGGTTAGATCTTCTGACTCATGGTTTCAGTGTTTTCAGCCTCTTTTCCAGCAGGGACGTCATTCAATCACAAACATTTTCTATTTGTTGCAAATTTAAAAAATGAGAAAATAAAGAAATAAACAAACAAACACATCTCTGCTTTAATCTGGGGCATACAGATACAGTATTAGTTTTTTAGTGTTGATGTTAAAATATAAGGACTAAATTAGCAGAAATGCGATTTCAAAGACTAATTAGTCACATTTTTTCCTCCCGTCTGCTCTTCTAGTTGAACTTAAACTGAGGATGTGTTTGTTGTCCTGTGTTCTACCTGCCCTCATATGTTCTCTCATTGTCATTACGCCTTCATCTCCTCAGCTGTTTATCTGTCGTTCCCTCCTCAGTCATCGTGCACCTGTCAGTAATTATCTAATCAGTTCCTCTCAGCTGTTGTCCATCTTCTCTCTTCTTCACTCATCACTGGATCATTATATTGAATCTCCATCTGTCTCATTGTCCTTGTGTTCCTCGTGGCTCCTTCATATTTTTGGTTATTTTGCTGCCCTGTCAGCTTTTGCTTTGTTAAATCAATGTTTTTATTATAACTTCATCCTCCATCTAAATCTGGGTTCATTCCTCGCACCAACCTTGACAGAAACAAACTATTTTCTCAAGTTTTGCACCAAAAAGAGACCTTGACGTTTTTATCTGTGAAACGGTTTGAGTTTTGTTGTTTTATAATGTCACAGTACACATTTAGGTTTGCTTTGATATCTGTGTTGAAGTTTAAATTTGACACATCATGTCTGAGAGGTCTAAGCCAGTGGAATATACAGGTGAACTGAATGCTAAAAGGGGGTGTGTTCACAGATAAAACCTGAATTACAAATGATGGGCTTGATATAATATCAATTACCCTCCCCTAAATTTATTTTATTCAGCTTTTTCGAACTAAGAAAATTGTGCAGTTAAAGTGTAAGTGAAGCCAATATTTTAGCCAGCTGTGCCCACCACTGTTCAAATTGCACCTTCAGTACTGTCCTGCAGTTCTGGTGGGTTCAAACATCTCATATCACATTTTTCATTCACTTTATTGTAGAACTAAAACCCCAAAGAGTCTCAGTTTTTCTACCCAGTCACTTGTTTGTTTCATCCTGTAGCATCCTGACCTGAGTCTGGGTCTTTGAGTTTGAACCTTAGAGTCCAGCTGTTACTTGTGTATGTAAAGATTTATGAAGAAATATAAATGTATATTCACTGAAACCTTTAAAGTGCCTACATGTGGACATGATCCAGCTCTCTGGAGTGGAGGGGGTGTCATGTAATTTATGACTGTAATGTTTTTAGTCAAGTTAAGCTGACAAAATTGTACCAGTAATTTGAAACCACACTGCTGAATAAACATTGTTGCTTAAAATGGACTTGTGCTTCTATTGGCTGATTTTTGTCTGGTGGATTTGTCTGAAGCCACTCACATGGTACGAGTTGTTCAAAGCAGACTAAACATTGTTTTAGCATGTCCTCTTTTAAACATTCATAAGAAGTGTATGACCGACTACATCTGAAATAAATACAAAAATATTAAAGTAAAACTAACAGTTTTACTCAATGAGTTTCTAGTGAGTTGCTAGTATGCATTATGACAGATTTAGTTTATGGTCGATGCTGACTTTAAACAGTATTTTCAGACAGTAATACTGCACTATCCAACTAAATTGTTCAATTACTTAAAGCCAAAAGCTCAGGGGCAGGACAATTATTAACATCTTTCACCTTTTAAATTTATTTTGTTTCATTTAATCATAAATTTAAAGTTTACCATTGATACAAGAAACAATTTTCATGTTAAGTGAAAAAACTTTTGGGATTGGGGGGGGGGGTACCCCTCCTCATGGGCCACACAGGAGTCACCTGTGGGCCACATTTGGCCTTCAGTTCAACACGTGCCTTAAACTAAGCACATGTACATGCCTAACCCTAACTGGTAAACTTAAACTAAGCACATGTACATGCCTAACCCTAACTGGTAAACTTAAACTAAG